CTTTTTTGCGAAAGAATAGCAATAATTCGATTTATTTTAATGAAGGGGGGGGCAAAATCTTATCGGGGGGTAGAGCAGGTTTCCGGCCCCCTTAGTTACGCCTGTGATAAAGACATAAAGAAAAGCGTATATTTTTCTCTGATCCAACAGGGCGAAATACCACGGAAATTTTCATAAAAATTTTTGTAAAACTTCAAATTGTGTCGCTGAAAAAACTATTATAAACATATTAGTTGTTATAAGCTATAGATAAGCTAGTTTTCGATCATGTTGGATCATAATTCTTATTAGAGATTCAAAAAAGGAAAATAATTGAAAAAGTCGTTAACATGCACCAAGAATACACTGAATATAGCAATTATACATCTCAATGGAAATTCTCTTGTGACTACACACAAGGAAGTTGATAAAACTCTGTTTTAAAGCCGTATTATAAATTATTACAAGAAATATACTCGTTGCCGCTTTGCCAGTTGAACCGTGATTTCAAGTTAAGCCAATGCCAATAGAGTTGTTTAAGGTCAATATGCTGATATCGGTGCACTAGAATTACAAAAATAGGCTATTTCTATCGTATTTTGGACACCTGCTAAAAGGTATCGAAAGCGAGAGCTTAATTAATGAGCACAAGGAGGCCTAATTGGAAAATATAAATAATACATATCGGGGTGTTAATGTATTGCCTTTTTGATTAATTATACCAAAAACCATGACCAGCCGACAATTTAAGATAGTAAAGTAAAAAGCAAATTCCGAACAAACAAGACATCTTGAGAATCAAAATATAATTCAAACAAGACACAGATTGAGACTGTAAATTTTCGACTTTATTACAAAGTCGAAAATTTACAGTCTCAATCTGTGTCTTGTTTGAATTATATTTTGATTCTCAAGATGTCTTGTTTGTTCGGAATTTGCTTTTTACTTTACTTTGATTAATTATATACAGGCTATTTTAGCGGTTCATAATTATATCACATTAATACGACTTCAAGGGCAAGCATGCATGAAATGCATTCAAAACTTTTTTTAACTCAATCGCCATTCCATTGGGCTCTACACACTAGCTCTCCTAGCTCTATATCCCGAGCGCAAACACAGTTTGATTGCTTTAATTCTGCCTGAAGATTTTGATTACGCCCATGCAATGTCGCGCGAAATTCATGACTTGCAAAATTCATGACCAATATTTGTTCTGCAAATGCGCGCATCATGCGCTGTATAGTTACTCACGCTGATATATATATATATTTCGCATCCTCAAGAGGTAAATGTTAGCATCAGAATCTTTGAAAGTGAAAAATCGAGTTACTAGATATTTGGAAAGATCTGCGAAAAAAAGGAAAAGTGCAGAAAAAGAAAATTTAGTTGGAATGAGCGTTTTTGCATGCACCTGAGTTCATTAACCGTGCATCGCACGGAAAGCATGATATTATATCAAATCTGGAGGACAAAGATGCTTTACCAAACTTCTCATGTAAGTGTTTCTGCACAGCAAATTGCCGCTTTTCATAGCCGCATCTTTAGCGAATTGGCCGATAGAAATATAATCATTGTCGTCAATCCATGATTGTTGCTCATACCTTGTATGCAATTCCAGTTTCGTTGTATTAGAGAATATAAATATAAAGGAGTTCCATCTTTCAGAGCGGTTATAATTAATTAATAACACTTTTGTGAATTATTCAAGTTCTCGTGCATGCATATACTCTTTATCGGGGGGTTAAATGATATTTTTTTGGTGTTAAATATATATAATAAAACTCTACTCTTCTAGCCTTGTTGGTTGATATGGTGCACATGCATACAAATTAAAGAATGAAATTAGCGTTTGGGCGGATACGTTCGGTTGGTCCAATCATAACTTTTGAAAAGTGAAAAACATAACTTTCATTTGTAGGAGATATCATGCACTCAGACCATTTTGCGGAAAAAAGTATCGAAAAAAAAGGTATAACATCAATTAATTACTAGTGCATCGCACAGAAAGCATGATATTATATCAAATCCTAAAAAAAATGTGCTTTTTCTCCAACTTAATTGTCACGCATGCATGTGTATCTGCCCAGCTATTTGCCGCTCTTCCATATCTACTCTCCTGTGTTGGTAGGTATGGTGCACATACAAAATAATAAAATTAGTGCTTGGGCGGATGCGTTCGGTTTGTCGCATACTATTAACTTTCGAAAAGGGAAAAACAAAAACCCTCATTGGTATAATCATTTATGTTATATCACTTAGACCATTTTGCGGAAAAAAGTACGAAAGAAAAGACTTGCACCGTGCGACTGCATACACCAATTCGTGATAATGATGCATCGCACAGAAAGCATGCTATTATATCAAATCCTGGAAAAAAATATGCTTTTTCTTGAACTTGCCACGCATGCATGCGTATCTGCGCAGCAATTTGCCGCTCGTCCTTGCCATATCTTTAGCGAATTGGTCGATATAGAGTTGGGGGCCTTGTTCAACTTCATTCTTCAGAGTTATAATAACACCTCCGTGGAATTACTGAAACCATCCTATATGCTCTTTATAGAGTTGAATATTTTTGTGGCTTTAATTCTCATTCATGCAATGGTTATAAATTAAAAAGTTATTAGAGTTGATTTTTTGACGAATCGCCGGATTGACCAGGGAGTATCCTGAAAAAGTGTCCAACGTCAATTGTAAAGAAAGCGTTCGTCAATATTTCGACTGTAGCTACGTTACCTTTAAGTACTCGTTTAAGTACTAGTATATCGTTGCTTTAATTATAATATTTAATTTTTATGCACGTTAATTACGGATTTACTTGTGTTACATAGACCTGACTAGAAAAAGCTCTCTTCCCATGCAGTAAAACGTATAAAGGCAAATTGTCAATTTTAGAGCATATATATTAGCTATCAGTAAACCTTTTTCGTTCTTGTTTTAAAGGGGACTGCGGCATGTATTTTAAGAAACTTAATGTTTAAAATAAAAAAATTAACAGAAAGGTTAAATTTAAAATTGAACTAGAAATACATGCATGCAGCAACCCCTCGTCTTGGTTAAACGAAATTAGTTAAGCGTAGGGATGGTAAAATGAGAAAATTTATGTGGTTTGGGGGTTTTGGAGGGTACATGGTATGGGAGAAATAGAAATTGAGAAAAATATGGAAATATTTTCTGCATGCACATGGAAACACTGTAGTCTTCAAAGTTTACCCTCACATTTTTGTGAAAAAAGTTGCAAAAATACGACAATAATCTTACCTTTTTCTGCAAGTTAAGTTATTCATCTATAGTCAGTGGTAAATTATTTAATTATTAAATACGATGAAATATAACATCAGACGTCATGGTGCATCGCACGGAAAGCATGATATTATATCAAGCCCTGGTGACAAAATATGCTTTTTCTCGAACTTGCCGCGCATGCATGTGCATCTGCGCAGCAATTTGCCGCTCTTCCTTGCCATATCTTTAGCGAATTGGTTGATATAGAATTGGGGGACTGGTTCAACTTCATTCTTCAGAGTTATAATAACACATTCGTGGAATTACTCCTACATACACTCTTTATCGGGGAGTTGAATGTTTTTTGTTTTTTTAATTCTCATTCATGCAAGGGTTATATAAAAATGAGTTGATTTTTTGACGAATCGCAGGCTTGACCAGGGAGTATCTGTATGAACAGGTACCCAACGTCAATTGTAAAGAAAGCGTTCGTCAGTATTTCGAATGCGTTACCTCTAGTATATTGTTGCTTTTATGTACCTTAATTATGGATCTGTTTGTGTTATATATGGGCTTGATTAGAAAAAGCTCTCTGCCCATGCGGTATACATATTAGCTATGAGTAAATGGAAACTTTTTCGTTCTAGTTTCAAAGGGGACAACTATGGTGGCCCATTAACGCCATAGTACTTTTTCTGAATTGATACAAATAAATATATTTGTTTGAACTAATTTTAAACTATTTTTAAAAAATTATTTTTTTTTAATTTTTTTTTTTTTAATTTTTTTAATAATTCTCTTTTCTTTTTTTTTCTATTACTTTGTAATTTTTATTTTCTTTTATTACATGTTTTTATTTTCATTTTACCTTAATTACATTTAATTTAAAAAAAAATGGCCATGGCCCATTCACGCCATAGCAATACGCCTATATTTAAAAAAATATCATCTCTATGGCCCATTGACGCCATAGCAACTTCGTGGCCCAGGGACGCCATAGACCATGAAGCCTTTCGGGCATGCATCATTATCCATCATGGCGTCTTGGGTAAGGAATACTGATTGGGAAGGCGATATGGACTTAAAAGATGACCTTAAAGCGTATGTAGCGCAGAATTTACGTCAAAAAGAAATTGTAGATTTTTGTAAAGTGAAGTATCCTATGTATGCGTGGAGTTTAAGGACTCTCTCACGTCGCTTGCGTTATTTTAATGTAAAATACATTGATTACGATACAAATATTGACGATGTCACACGTGCTGTGGAGAAAGAGTTAAATGGGCCTGGAAAATATCTAGGCTATCGTGCTTTGCATAAGAAAATTCCTGAAGTACACGAATTAAATGTTCCAAGACGTTGTGTACGACGTTGTGTACGACGTGATGGCTGATGTCAACCCTCAAGGTTTACAGGACAGAGGTGGTGTGGGCCAACCAAAACGCAGACGAATAAAGGGAGCTGTTACAATAGTCGAGATCTTGTTTATTATAAACGTTTATCTTTCAATACTCGCATGCTTTAAATAATACTAACTACAAACTAGTACTTCTTTTTTATACACCATCTTGGATGCGCCCGCAAGTCACATCAATGTACTTAGTATAAGTTTCATATTGTAACATCCCCCCTTTTATGAAGGGACTGCTCCTATTACCGAAATAACTTACTTAAAACAGATAAATTAAAAAAAGCAAAAATTACATAGATACATACAATAATTAAATTGTTTAGTATGTACAAATATGTATATATAATTTTTATATATATACGGTTCCAGCTGTGTTCGTTCTTTCTTCCTAACGGACATAGTCTTTTAAGTACTCTGGAGCTCTTCGGGTGCGCTGTGGTCTTGTTATTCGTACTGGACAAGCTGCTTGTCGTTGGCTGTCTTGCTCTGCTGCTACCGGTCGAGGGGACTTTGCGGGTGATAAACTTTCCGTAGGTTTTTCTTTCAACGGGGTGGTGGATTGCGTTACTTCTTCCTCTGTGGACTCCTCATTTGCTTGACTCCACTCATCCTCCGAACTCACCTCTTCTTTTATCGGCATCTCCGCTGATTTCTTCAAATGACTTCGGTTTCTGCGATAACTATTTCCTTCCGGCGTTTTGACCGTATATGATCTTTCGTCTAATCTGGCAGTTACGACAGCTTTATCCCATTTCTTTTTACCCATTCTAAATGGTTTCATCCTTACCACGTCACCATGACTCAACTCCGGAAGATCCTTTGCATTGCGGTTGTAATACTTGATCTGCTGCTCCTGCCGTTTCTTCATGTCCCTAAACTCTTTTTCCTGGCACATCACCTTAGGTTGCAGGAGCTTTGATGTTGTAGGAAGAAGTGTCCGAGTTCTCCGGTTTAGCAAACGTTGTGCGGGACTACTCTCCATACCCTGAGTAGGTGTATTGCGATAATCCAAAATCGCCAGGTATGGGTCAGCTCCCCCCTCAACAGCTTTACGAATGAGCCGTTTTGCCATCTTCACCGCTGACTCCGCTTTACCATTCGCCTTGCTATTACCAGGGCTGCTCGTGAGATGCTCGAAATTCCATGTGTCGGCAAACGTTACAAATTCTTCCGCCGAAAACTGTGGGCCATTATCGCTAATGACTCTCTCTGGACAGCCGTACCTCGCAAAATGATTCTTCAACTTGAGAATTATCATACTCGTTTTGGTACTGGTCAGCCTATCAATTTCGCAAAAGTTACTAAAATAGTCGACAGTTATCATATAATCCTTCTTATCGAACGTGAACAAATCCACGCCAACTTGCTCCCAGGGACGTGATTGTATTTCATTGGGCATCAAGGTTTCCTTCTGCTGTGCTGTTTCATAGGTTCTACAGACTTCACAAGAAGCCACTAACTCTTTAATTTCCGCCGACATCCCTGGCCAGTACACACTCGCTCTACGAAGACACGACTCGGTCCCCAGGTGCGACGCATGTATTTTCTTCTTCATATCCCGACGCAGTCTACTCGGTATGATCACTCTCTGCCCTTTGAATAACAGCCCATCTTGCACCGTTAGCTCATCCCGCATACTGAAATAAGGTAGGATCTGTGCTGCTAGGTACTTCTTCTCTTGTGGCCATCCTTCCATTATGGTTTTCTTAAGTAGCTGTAGCGATTCGTCTTCATCGGTCGCTGCTTGAATGTCCCTCATTTTCTCACTTGAAATTGGCAAAAAACTAGCCATGTTGACACACTCGAATTCAACACCAGACGGATGTTCCGTTGTAGGCAGGAAAGCACGCGATAGCATATCAGCTATGTACATGCTTGTTCCTTGCTGATACCTTACTTCGAAATCATACTTCTGCAGCCTCATCATCATCCCCTGCAGACGCCGCGGAGCACTTGCCAGGGGTTTTCGGAGGATAGCCTCCAATGGCTTGTGATCACTTTGAATCTTTACATGTCTTCCGAAGACGTACTGGTTTAATCTCTCAAGTGAAAACACAATCGCCAACATTTCTTTTTCGATTTGCGCATATCGTTGCTCTGTCTCCGTCAGGGCACGACTAATATACACAACTGGTCTTCCTTGTTGCAACAGTGTCGCTCCTAAACCCTTCTGGCTTGCGTCACATTGGATTACCACCTCATCCTTCGGATCGTAATACTTTAACACCGGGGCCTCCGTGACCAATTTCTTTACTTCCTGGAACGCCTTCTCTTGCTCCTCCTCCCATCTCCATTCTACACCTTTTCGGGTCAGACGGCAGATTGGCTCCATAACATCAGCCAACCTTGGCAAAAACTTAGCCAAGTAATTTACGAAACCATTCAGTCGCTGCACCGATTCAATATCGGTTGGACGAGGTAATTCTTTCACTGCTTCAAGCTTCCCTGGGTCTACCTTAAGGCCTCCGCTGGTAAACAGATGTCCCATATACGTCACCTCTTTTTGGCGCAGCTTCATCTTATCTGGGTTGAGGGCAACACCATTTTTCTTACATCTTTCTAGCAGATGACGTAGCTTTCGATCATGATCTACATTCGCATCTTCTTCGGTCGCCCCAACTCCATAAATGAGAATATCGTCGGTGATGTCCAGAATTCCGTCTAGACCATCCAAAACTTGATGAACTCTCTTCTGAAAAATTTCCGATGAAACTGACAGTCCGAATGGTAGTCTTCGCCACCTGTATCTCCCGTAGGGTGTTGCAAATGTCGTAAGAAAACTCGAATCTTCCTCCAAAACGCAATGCCAATAGCCGGCGCGGAGATCCACTGTAGAGAATACCTTGGCTTTGGCCAACTCCGGAAGGAGATCATCCAACACTGGCAAATGGTATTGCTCACGCTTAAGCGCGGCATTTAATGGCTTCGGATCAATGCACACCCTCAATTGACCTGACTTCTTTGTAGCGACTACCACACTGCTCACCCACGGTGTTGGCTTATCCACTTTAGCGATGACTCCCAACTCTTCGAGTCTGTCCAATTCACCTTTAAATTGCTCTTTCAATGCTATCGGCACACGCCGAGTTGGTACAACGACTGGTCTAGCGTCTTTCTCTACTTCTAATTTCACTGTACCAGGTAGGTTTCCAAGCTGACTGTGAAACACCTCTGGGTATTGATTAACTATCTCCTCTACCGTCAATAGCTGATTCACCTTTGGTTTATCTCGTTTAGGTGCTGTCACTGCTACAAAATTATCCCTATGAATTGTGATCAGCTTCATTTGTTGCGCTGCCCTCGCACCAATCAGTGGCGTGAGACTTTCCCGCACTACGACGAACTCAAGGGAGAACTTTTTTCCTGACTTTGGGTTTCTTATAGCAACTCTTATGGTTCCTGTTGGTTTAACTTCGGTTTTATTCCACATGATAAGTGTTTTGGTAGTTGGAGAGAGCTCCTGCTCCCCAGAACACTCTCCGGTAAAATGTTTATTGATGCACCACAATCCACTTGAAATTGAACAGGTTTTGTACCCAGAAACATTTCTGCATATATCTCTCTTGGGTAGGCTTCATCTGATGGCCCAACTGCGCAAACGCTCCCATTATTGACTGCTATACTTCCCAGGTATTCGATATCGGAACTGTCCGCATCATTTTCATACTCACGTTTTTCTTCTTGTCTTGTAAGGTGCACTTTTGCATTATCTCTGCTCTCGACTTTTCGGCAAACCCTGGCGAAATGATTCTTTCCCCCACACTTTAGGCATTCCTTTCCCCAGGCTGGGCATCTTTCTTTTCGTTGTGGGTGTCTCCCTGCACAAAACTTGCATGTTATTGGTGACATCACATCTCGCTGGTCTCTTTGATACCCGGTCTGCGTCTTTCTCATTGTCACTCTGTGTATGTCCTCTGGCGCTGCCTTGTCTGAGATTATCTTCATTTGTGTTGTCGTGACTTCAGTGCTTCGACATAGGTCAATGCATTTCTTCAAACTAAGTTTTCGTTCTTGAAGGAGTTTTTTCCTGGTTTGTGTATTATTTATTCCAAACACAATTCTGTCTCGGATGAGTGAGTCCTTTAGACATTCACAAAAATTGCATGTTTGTGCTAATGTACGTAGCGTCGCGACATATGCATCAACACTTTCATCATCTTCCTGGTTTCTACTATTGAATACATACCGCTCATACGTTTCATTAATCTCTCCAATTGTAAACTCGTCAAATTTGCTTATAATAGGATTGAGCTTATCGCGTTCTTCTTCCGTGAATGACATACCATTGTAAATTTTGAGAGCTTCGGTCCCAATACAATGTAAGAATAAAGCAACACGGTACTGTTCTGTCTGTTTGTCCAGATTCGTAATGATCGCATAATTCATCCACGCTTGCTTAAACGTCTTCCAGTTTTCCGCTATGTTACCCTTCGTTTGAAGCTTTTCAGGCGGCGAAATTCCTTGTATCGGTGCCGGTGTTGGCGGTGTTGTAGTCATGATTTACCCGCTATAATTTACTCTTTTCTTATATCTATGCTTATCCTTTTCCTCGTGGTCGTGGATTTCGATCTTATCTCGCTGCCACCATGTTACAATAGTCGAGATCTTGTTTATTATAAACGTTTATCTTTCAATACTCGCATGCTTTAAATAATACTAACTACAAACTAGTACTTCTTTTTTATACACCATCTTGGATGCGCCCGCAAGTCACATCAATGTACTTAGTATAAGTTTCATATTGTAACAGGAGCATTCACATCGGCTGTAAGTGTACAAATGTTTCATATTTTTTTACACTAACAGTTTGAAAGTCAAAGGCATATTAATATGTGTGGCAATTTTCACATCTAGGGAGCTGATTTTACAATGTCACTTGATGGGCATGATAAGCTTTGCGGTTTTCAGAAGTCTACGTTCCCACTCTGCATCTATGGTGCACAAGATACTTTTAGCAGCAGAATAAACTTTCTGAGAGTATGGAATTCCAATAATAATCCAAGCGTTGTTGGAAGATTCTACTTCGACTATTTATTTGAAAGAAGAGGTTTTTATAATATTTGCCTATATCTAAATAAGTATTTCATGTGAGATTTTTGCTACTTTTTGTGATTCATTGGATAGCATTCTCCTTTCTTTATAAGGGATATTTTCAAAAAAATTATTCTCTTACAAAACATTTTCTGTTTTTTTTATAGTGTTACCCTCAAGAATACGTGTGGATAGAGGGACAGAAACTGGTATAATGTGTACTATTCACAGTTATTTACGCGGGCAACATGGCGATGTTGAAAAGGGAGATGACTGTGTTCTGTATGGACCTTCCACAGAAAATAAGATTGAGAGATGGTGGAGAGAGCTGTCACACAGAATGGAAGGATATTTTAAAGATCAATTAAAATCTTTACTCGAAGAGGGGCATTATGATCCAAGCAATGAAACCGACAGGTGGGTATACTTTCCAGACAATAGTGCATTTGCTTTATTAGTTAATGCAGCTATTCATGAAAGTGTTTTTGCACGAAATTTTCAGTTCCGAATTTTGTTGCTGGGAAGGCTTTATCAAGACCTGCTTTGGACAACCAACCAACTAAAATCCTATCAATTATAATTTATAGAAACATGCTAGCGTTTGTTTATATTCCTGTTGTACAAAAGGAACTTGATGTGTTCAGGGTATCAGTTTGGAATAATCATAGAATAAGGAAACAAAAGGACAAGGTGCTACCCACTGGTGTGCCAGAGCATATATACACATGTCCAGAGCAACATGGTGGGGAAAAGTGTGGTATCCCAGTAAATGAGGAGCAACTACGGGAAGTGGCTGAGTTTTCACATGTACTTGATGCTAATGATGACTTTTTAGATGAAGATTTTCGACAAGAATGCGAACGGCACATCCCAAATACAGAAGATATTGAGCTAGCCCAAACCTCCAATGCATATTTATATTTAAAAGATCATATTTGGACATAAGCAATTTGATATAATGAACTTATTATACAAGGATTCAGGAAAGGAATATATATATGTATATATCATAAAATGTCAATGCATTTTTTCATTTGTTTTCAATCAATGTTCTTCCATATAACAAAACACAACAAAATATGTTACAAAATATACTACCTAAGCATGAATTAAGTAACATCTAAAGGTATATCAATGCATGTAATGTCAGTTCATTGCAATTTGCAAAAATGCACGATTCATTGTTGCTTTGATAGTTTCAGCATCTCGCAGTATCTGTTGCATTTATGACATTGGAAGAATGTTTTAATTGCTGCATCTGACAAATTACCAGAGCAGAAACGAATTGCCTTGTCTTCAGGATCCTCCAGCTCAGCCGTTGCAATCTCTGGGTCACATAGGGAGAAATTGACCCCTTGAATGTCAGTGACAATAAGCTGTTGGTTAGACTTCTGGAATGTATAGTGAACAAATGTCTCAGCTTTAAGACTTAGTTCATTTGCATCTGCATATTCCACACACAACTCACCAGTATTGTTTACAAACTTTTCAAAAACACCCGCGAGGTGAGTTTCTAATGTTACAGGTTCACCATTCAGAGACGAATAGTAGACTTTACCATAAACAAATGTTTCTCCAAATTCTGAAGCTTGGACCTCAGAAGCCATACTCTGAGCGAAATTACGAGCTAGGGCGTTGAGTTGAACTGACTTTCGTGTATGGAGTTCAACGGACCCAAATAATGCCTCAATGGCTTTTTTTTCTTCCTCTAAATACTTTTTAATTACATACTTTCCTTTGGGCAAACCTGCAATGGATTTTGCCAAATATGCTGCACGGAATGCTCCATTCGCAAACGGTTTCTTTTCCATTGAAAGTGATACCTCAAAAGGTTCCAGCCACTCCATTCTCAAGATGCAAAACTCTTCAAGCCGAAGAGTTACCACATCGATATCTGGGACAATGACTTTTCCCAACTTCAGCATCTGACTTAGTGACATTGAACGCGCGACAGATGGCGATGGTCGGACACTGACAGATTTCGAGTGTGGATACTGAGAATGGCTTTTTTGAGGGCTTCCGGTTGCAGGTTCGCTGTGGAAACTTGGCTTTTTGTTTGCGATGTTTCTTCCCGATTTTTCCTTCGTGGGGTGTTCGAGAACTTCCACGAAGCGCACGTGCAAAACTTTCCAGTTCTGGATTTGTCCCGACTCGGTATAGGAAGGACCACGTTCACCGGCAAGGACATCACATTCTAATTCCGTGTTGAAGTGGGCCTTACACACAGCTTTGATGTTTTCCAGCGTAAGTTCTTTGTCACAAGGAACTAAAATCAAAGGCCCGATGCGCGAATACTTTTGACATTTGCCTTCCACGTTCGCCGACAAACGCTGAACAGTCAGCCCACCTTTTGGGCCAGTTGCTGCTTTTTCTTCGCCTTTACGCATTCTCTTCTTTGCTACCTTCTCTTTGTAGTTATCCCAAGCAGGTTTTCTCTTCGACATAACTACTTTAAATACTTTAAAAGGTACGGTGAACTTTATATGCAAATTTTGACAAAATCTTAATCTGTTCGATCTGAGCACTAAGCATGCAGTGTTTCCACTTCGTCAAACGAATTTTTTACCCATCTCGAAAGGCTTCATGGTCTATGGCGTCCCTGGGCCACGAAGTTGCTATGGCGTCAATGGGCCATAGAGATGATTTTTTTTTAAATATAGGCGTATTGCTATGGCGTGAATGGGCCATGGCCATTTTTTTTTAAATTAAATGTAATTAAGGTAAAATGAAAATAAAAACATGTAATAAAAGAAAATAAAAATTACAAAGTAATAGAAAAAAAAAGAAAAGAGAATTATTAAAAAAATTTAAAAATATAAGAAAAAAAAAATAGATAATTTTTTAAAAATAGTTTAAAATTAGTTCAAACAAATATATTTATTTGTAACAATTCAGAAAAAGTACTATGGCGTTAATGGGCCACCATAGATAAGCCTACTTACTCAGCACTCGTTGGAGTGTTTGAGAATTTGCATTATATTGAAGTTTGCGATGCATATTATAATATTCGCGACTATTTATAGCATATTATGTTTGTTATGATTAGCATGGTTTTGTAAAGTTCTTGTACGCCTAATCAATGCATCTTACGCGAAGCAATGGAAATATCTCTCTTTATTTTATTTCAGGATATTGTTTAATTTGTGTTAAATCAACTATTGCTATCATAAGGGTATAATATATGCGAGTACGAAGTTGTGTGTTTTGAAATACGACCCTCGCCAGCTTTGTTAATAAGCGGAATCTAATACGTCTTTCCTGGGCATTGTGAACCCTAAAATGGGCCGAAATAATCAAAATTTTCT